AATTTCCTAGCTGACGGTTTAGCTAAACAAGGGGCAGAAAGGGATTCACTTTTTTGGGCTAAGTTGTAACTATAGTGTGTTTTCTTTCTTTTTTTCTTTTCTTGAGGTTCTTTGTTGCTCTTGGAAGATAAGCGTGTTTGTCTTCCTATTGTAAATCTTCTTTTGATGAGTTAATGAAAGTGTTATTGATCAAAAAAAAAATGAACTCCAGAAATTATTAATGTTCTTTATAACTAAAATATATATATTTTAATATGTTACTGAATGTTGGCCCAGTCTATTTACATTACTTAGGATAACAATATGAATCTGGTATCTAGGATTCATTCTTTGGAAGTAGAATTTACTTACAAATACTCTACTCTTACTTTTGCTAATTTTTATACCCATGATGCATAATTATGGTGATAATCACCATAGGCAGGTCTAGAGGATCCTGATACACAAAAAGGATCCAACAACACCTGCCCATGGAATGCAACTACCTTGACATTTTCCATGAAATTTTACAATTAAAGAGGTCATGAAATATCTATAAAATGAATTCTATAGATTACATAATTTTGACAAAATGTCGGTGAAAATTATAAAAAAGAAAATGACAAATTCCGGATGCTATTTCAGTCAATGAAAGTATAGAAAAGGAAATCAATTTTTTCCTTTCTTCATCCAAAATAAAATTTCTTATAATTCATCCAAAATGTGAGAAATTTTGTATATATGCATGTAAATGTTTATACAACCACAATTCAAAGCATCAGGATCCATGTAAGTTCCCTTTTTAAGGTTTCCATTTTAAACTTTTTTATGGTGGTGCCTCAATATATCTTATCAATCCCATGCCGAATTAATCTGTAACAGCTGGTGAGAATGATATCAAGTGGTTGCATAATGCCAATTTGTGTTATCTTCAAAGAAATGGTAAGAACATGCATATCACATAATGCCATGATAGTTAGGATTTCAGAAATTCTTTGCATATATCAATCAATCATTGGACCACAAATAGTAAATTAGATCCTCAACGTGAATTGTTACTTCCAAAACAGAGTACTAACTTATCCGAAGAGGAAGATCAAAAGTCACATAGGTACCTTGTAAGAAGAAATGTTGGTAGGCAAAGGACTGGCGACCATTGTGAAAAAACATAGAAAAAGGAAACATGTGTCAAAACAGAGATATAATGGAACCCACACAAATGTATAAATGAGATCAGGAATCTCAGAAAATAAATAAATAGATAGATATCGAATCCAATCCTAGAGGAGCATGTACTTCTTGAGATAATTGGAACCATCAATGCGAAAGAGAGAGGGATGATGCATCTCTATCCTCAAATCCAAGCCTATCGACAATATTGCACAACTTGGTTAAAGAAAGGTCCTATAAGGTTCAGGATTAAGAAAGCCATAGCTGAATGCAACGCAAGGTCTCTATTAGTATTTTACGGGCAACTTGTTACCTAATCCATTCCTTTTGGTCTGGGTAGTCAAACTCGAGCGTGGAAGTTGGAACTCAGGAGAATCTAGGTCTCCATTAAATTCTGTCGGAGGAAACCTGGATGCAAAAAAAAAAGGCTTGCTTACTCTGTTCACTAGTCCACTATTATGGTCTGATTCAGTCAAATGTGAACTCAGAAATATTACAGATTTCATGTCCTTCTTCGGCTTCTACAGTCTCCCTTGTGAGCAACATTTGGGTTAGGAAGTCCCCTTGTCCATCGTCAAGCTGTGTGCTATGACCTGACCACTTCCCAAGAGAGTACCATTACATGCATTCAGCCATTTATGCAGTAATGCAAGACGCACTTCCCAAGTGATCAAGCAATATGTGTTTAACCTGGTACATGCATCTATGCGAGAGTCTAAAGTGAAGACTGAGCTTCAAATGCCTAAGCCACAGCTGGGATTCAATGCTTTCATTTCATCGTAGTTCGTAGAACAACTAATAGTCCTTCCACAAGCAGTGGAGACCTTGCCTTGCTTCGTGGCGCTAATAATTAAATGAATACGGCTACAAAACTAAAAACCCGGATTCAAATGAAATGGATCTCAGTGGATGAATGATGAATCAGTGTTAAATATTTACAAGAAATTAAAAGGGAAAACAAGAGAAAGAACTAGAAAAAGAGGGGAAAAAAGTGGTAACAGGAAAACTCACGGAAAATCAATCTCTAGACGGTTCTTCCCATTTTCGAGAGCGTAAACAAGAGAATTTGCGGCATCTGTGACAAGAGCTTCGTAAGATTTAGGCTTATAGACTGAGACTCCGGCTTTGGGATCGAAATCTGGAGTTTCTTTGCTGCTACTTCGAACCACGTAGTTGCGGAAGCTCAAGAAAGATCTTCGCACAGAAGAAAACTGAAAAAGTGGAGAGCTGGTGATCACAGAGAACGAAGGACGAAGACGCAGGAGAGCAGGTTGAGACGTTCGAAACTGAGAGAACGGGGGCAAGAGAGGGCGCAGATGACATGACGAGAAGGCCATGGCTGTGGCCATCTCACTTCTGCGAGAGAGGAGAAACGATTAGTGGATAAAAGAGTGGGACTACGTCACCCGTCCTTACTTTAGATAACAGACATGTTACGACGGGTTCCGGATGTAGTAAGCACGCTAGGTGAGCACATTAAGTAAGCACCTAATAGCGTGCTAGACATCTGGCCCAGCTAAAAGCGCCTTGCATCCAAACTTCAAACGTTTTATTCTTCCGTTAGTTATTATTTATTATTTTAATATTTGTGTTAAAAATAAAAAACCAAAAAGGAAAATCTGTCCCATTAATGCGTTGGTATTTCCATCTCCAATTTATTATTATTTTAATATTTGTGTCAAAAATAAAAAACTAAAAACTAAAAAGGAAAACCTGTCCCAATAATGTGTCATCTCTCCATCTCCAACCTTTTGCTGTTTAGGGTTCTTCTACACTTCTGGACCTTCAGCGCCATTGCAACTGGTTAGTTGGGGCAGCAGTTCTTCAAGCCCTCACCTGCAATTTCATCTCAAGAAACTCATTCATCCAATCTCTAACTATCGTATTCCTCATTCGCAGGTTCTAAACTTCTCCCACCTCTACACCTTCAACAGTTGCAACGAGTTGGTTGGGGCAGCAGTTCTTGAAGCCCTTACCTGCGATTTCATCTCAAGAAACCCATCCATCAAATCTCAAGTGACTATAATCTATCATCGCTATATATGCTTTATGGTTTCAATTTATCTCCCACTTTCATTTCTTTAAAAATTTGCATAAACAACATGGGATTTCAAATAAAACGCAAATTCCTGATTTTTTGGAATGGTTTTGTTGGATTTTTGTGGGATTTTATCTCTGTAACGATAAGTTCAAATATATTGATTGGAAATGCAAATTATGTTACTGATCATTCGCGGTATGGATCGACCCTCCCCATCTTGTTGCAAAGGTACTGGTGGGAGATCATCTATGACGTATGTTCTTTACCACTTTTTTTCTTTTAATTGAAACTTAGTGATTTAGTCCCTTTTAATTTGGTGGGAAGAGTCCTATAAAGATGGTTTGCTCTGTTTGATTACTATTAATGCATTTGGACTTGTTTAGACATTAGACTACAAGGGTAAGTGTCAAAAAGAATAAACATTCATTTACCTATCAAAAAAGAAACTTTCATTTTGGTCCATTTGCAATTTTGTTGTTTAGGTTGAAATATTAGCGGCATTGTTGCAACTGTATTTGGAGCTATTGGGTTTCTTGGGCGTTATGTTGTTCAACAGCTTGGTAAGATTGGATTTAACATACTTATTAACTAGTTTGGTCTGGAATCATTTATAATACAATGGTCCTCATCACTAATAATCATGTTTTTGTTAATTATTAAACCTTATTAGTTAAAAGTAACTAGTACAAATCTTTGTTCTTTGTAACTTTTTTCTATGTACAGCATTTTTCCCTTGCAACTTCAATTTGTATTGTAGGATATAGGTGTACTTGGATTAGAATTGAGTTGGGATATCACTTGGTTAATCATTAAAAAGGGTTATGTTTGTTTCTTAGTTGTTGGTGCAGAACTAGTAGCTCTTGGAATCCATTTCCAAGAGCTAGCACTATCTGGTTAAATGCTCAAGTACAAACAACTTTAAAACATGTCCATAGATAGAACAAAACAATTTAAACAATTGATTGGGATGACTTGTGAGAATGATTAGCTTAGATTATGGTTTTTGCAACTTGTTTTTTTTTAGAATCAACTTGTTTCTTTATGAACTTTATTTGCTACCAACAACATTAAGATGTTGGAAATTTTTTCTTGAATTTATTTTCTTCTCTTAACTCTTATAGGAACATATTACAAGAACATGCAACACAAGGCTAGTAAAAAATCTCCTCAATATGCTTTTCATTTTTGTGCTAATTGCATTCTATCTCATACCTAATTTTTATGTTTTTTTGCCTTTTGTATGAGCAGTAGAAGATGTAATTTTTGATTGGTGTATCCTATACAATTTTCAAGACATGCCTTAATTAGCATATGCATCAAGTGGATAGACAAATTTACTGCTTGGAAGATGGTTGGATGCAAAAAGCAAAGTTTTGGAGTAGTTCCAAGAGCAAGTATCACTATAAGAGAATAGTAGTATGGAATGTTTTGAGAAGCAATTTTCCCTCTTGGAGGATAGATTAAAACTAATAACATGTCAAATGCATTATACTTATTATAGTATTGTTATTTTATTGACGGTATGGCTAAAACAATAGACTTCAGCATGAGCATTATTAAGTATGTAAAGATATGGCTAAGTTATATTTGGGACATCGAATTATCTGAAGTTTTTTTCTTCTTGTTGTGTTCATATGAAATTTATGGTCGGGATTGAATTACCAAAAAAAATTATGGGATTGTATTACTAAATGTAATGGAAATTAGTAATTTATCAATACCAAATGGGCAACTTGAACCTTAATTGTAACTCTTTTGACTCCTAAGTTGCATACTCTATGTCAATTTATTAGGCTATGTTTGATTTACTAGAAAATAAAAGACGGACATGTTAAAGTAGAGTTTTTAACAAATTTTGTGAAATTTCTTTAAAAATTTCCCTCAAATTTCGGTTCTTTCAAACTAAGCACAGCCTCAACGATAACTACTTGGAATGTAACAATCTTATTTTATATGGATATCTTATTTTAATATAAATATTAATAAATCATTGTCTCTTCGCAACTATGGTTAGATTTCCAATTAATATAAATATTAATAAATCATTCCATTGCGGGAATGATGAAATCTCGTATTACCCATCAAATAATGTGTAGTTTTTGTTAATACTTTCTTTTATGAGAGTTAAGAACTACGGGTCCATTTGGATCATAATCATAATCAAAATCGAAATTGGTCTATTCCCCCACCTGAATTGAAATAAGCTAGTAGGGGATTGACAAATTAAATAAAAAGATACCTGTATAGGTTGTTCGGTAGAACTTTCTTCGGCAATATGATTCTTTTTCCGCTTTGTTCTCTTTGCTATGGCTTTTTCTAAAGCATTTTTTGGCCTCTTAGAAGAACGCACATTGGTCATCTTGTGTTTAATTCCTTTCACTATTGTTGAGGTCCCTTCTTCAGCAAAATTGACATTTTTGCCATCAATATCTCCACATATTTTATCAACATGTAATGAAGGAGAGCTACTATTGTCATTAATTTCAGCTTCCATGTCCTCTAGTGAAATAGATGATTGGTCAAATGTTGTATGTTTCAAACATTCTGTCACTTCTTTTAAAATCTTTTCTGCAGTCTCCATAACAATCTTGTAAGCATTCTTAGAATGTGCAGCTCTATTTGCTTTTTGGGAAAGCAAACAATTCATTTCTTTCTAATACATGGCTCTTTCTATGTTTTGATCGACACATGTAATAGAGTCATGAGATGTTTCAACAATTATCACCTTTGCATCAATAGTCCATCTTTTTAGTATATAGCATGGGGGAATCATTTTAATGCATCTACAATCAATGCATGCCCACATAAGATCCCCATATATTCAAATGTTTTACAACTACAATTGACCAAATCATCTATTGAGTCAAAAGTGACCGTGTGCCGACGACTTTTAACAATATACTTGGTTGATGTTCCACATACAACATAATCTTCTTCAATACTACAATTGAGTTGTTTAATTACTTCATTGTAAAACAAGGAAAAAATAGGGGGAGTATATATAAGAGAAAATAATTCAATATATCCACCTTTGTAGTCAAGGTCGGGATGTTTTGTGTTGCTGCAAATTCAGCTTTTAACTCTTCATATCGCCTATCAGCAACTACTCTCTCAAAATGCCGAAGGAGTCTTGATAAATCATGCTTACTGTTGACATATTTTTTAAGACAACTATTCATGCTCTCACTTCTCTGTGTGGTGCTCATACCAGCAGAAAATGTTTGTTGCCCAAATACTAAAGCCCATTTATGCCTTTTATCATATAACTTTTGCAACCAATCATTCTCTTGGAGCTTATACCTCTTAATCATCTTTTCCCATGCATCTTCAAATTCATTTACATCCTCATAATCATAAACACAATTGCTAAAATCCTTAGAAAATGTCTTAAAATTTTCAAAAACACCACTAAGGTGTTTTGCAGCATTTTGAAACATATGCTAAACACATAATCGATGATTTATTTCTGGTAATACCAAATTGATTGTCTTTGCCATAGTTGCATCATCATCAGTTAGAATTGTCTTTGGTTGTTTTCCACCCATTGTTTTGATGAAACTCTTAAAAAGCCACTCAAATGTTTTTGCAGTTTCATCATACAACAATGCAACACTAGAATTTATTGATTGCATATAATTGTTCACCCCCACAAACATTGCAAATGGTCGATTTTCATTGTTTGTTCTATACGTTGTATCAAAACATATAACATCACCAAAATGACCATAGCCTACTATCATCTGACCATCTACCCAAAACAAATTTGTGACTAATTCAGCTTGATCCAATTGTATTGCATATACAAAAGAAGGATCTTTTGATTGCATGTCTTAAAAGTATTGTAAAATACCACCTGCTTCTCCCTTCTCCATCTTCCTAGTCAGATATGAATGCAAATAATTCTTAAGATCCATAGAAGTTAATCCAACTTTTTCCCGTCCACCAGCTGCCTTGGCCATTAGTTCCATTGATGCTTTGGGAGCTATTCCTGAATCATCAGCTCTTTTAACATGGGCTGCTTGTATCTCTGAAATACTTCTTTGTGATCTTAGCATGTGTGTTTTTTTAGGGGTTATAATAATATGATTATGATTCACATTAAAAGAAATCACATGATAGAAACCATATTCTCGATGGCTTATCTTCATTTCTACCATACACTCACATCTTGTTTTCGCTTGGGGTCGTTTGGCGATGAATCCAGGTTTATCTTGGATACGCTTTCCCTCTCTAGACCAACAAAATTTTCTAAATCTTGCTTTACCAATCCAAGAGCATAGAATTCTATTGGCTTTTAGAACACTAAATCCTACCTTTCCAGCATATCTATTGCAAAATTCATATGCTTCTTCTTCTGTTTTAAACACCATGCCAATCTTCGGGGTCCACTCTTTAGGAACAAGGGAGCATTTTTCCTTGAACATTTTCTTTATACTTTCATCAAATATCTGTTGGCCTTCAATTTCATGCAATTTAGCAATACTATATTTTCTTGTATTTAGCTCAGTAGGACTTGATAATTCATCTACTTTGGTTGCATCATTTGCCTCAATATCAGTAATGTCAATATCTTGGCATTTGCCCCCACCTAAATAAAAAATCAGCCTACACTTGGAGTGAGGACCAACCTCCATATTCCTTTTGGCTATTCTGTTAGACATGACAAAAATATTTTACATACTTATAAACACATAAAAATGGAAAGAAAGCATCAATTTAACAAAAAGAAAGTAAATTATAATAATAAGAAACAATATATAATATAGGCTACTATGGGAATGTATTTTCTTGAACATTTTGTTTGAAAATTATAAATTCAAGTACATGGTTTAATAAGTTTGATATAAAGTAAAAATTGGTTTTATCTTTATGTCAAATACGTTGCGGTAGAGGTGTAAAACGGGTTGTGTCGGGCTGGCACGACACTAGGGGCATAAACGGATCGAATTTGAATCAGATTAGACAATATCCGAATTCGAATCCGATTAGAAAATTCGATATCCGAATTCGATTTGATATCTAACGAATATTGAAAATTAATATTCAAATTCAAATCCGATTAAATATTCGAATATTCGATTCGATTCGAATTTGATTAATTAATTATTTTAGATAATTAGTAAATATATAAAATAAATATTTTATTGATATAAAGTATATAAATATATAAATTATTTATATAACTTAATTATTATATATATTATATAAAATATTTTATATATAAGAATTAAATAGTAGGTCAAATTCGGATATTTATTGAATCAAATCAGGTCATATCTGAATTCGAATCCGATTAATTATTCGGTAAGAATAGGATATCCGAATTCAACCGATTAGATATTCGAATTATCTGAATTTGATTTGATTCGGGTTGGGCTGCGGGCTGGGTCGTGCCAGCATGCGGATCACAGAAGGCATGGCCCACTTGGTCGTGCTGTGCCGGCCTGACCTACAAACCTAAAACCCCAGGCCCAGCACGACACGGACCATCGCGCTGGGCCTGGCACAACCCACATGCCATCATGTCGTGTTGTGCCAAGCCGACCCAAACCCAACTTGATTTACATCTCTACGTTGAGGAAGAATGGAAAATTAGAGAATTCAGTCAAAGCATAATAAATATTCTCTAAAATTGTAACATGTAATGCTTTATTATATATTAATTCTCCAAAATTAGAGCATTCACCAAAAATAAAAAGCTTTTAAGTACTAGTTTTTCCAGAAATTGTTTATTTTATGATACTAGCATAGATGAATTTTAATGGCTATTGTATTTGTCTTGTCGTTTTGGTTTATTGAGAAAGACATAAATTATTAAAGTTCTAACAAAAAAATAGATAATTAATTTTGACAAAAAAGACATGAATCAATTTTCTAGGAATATGCATAAACTATTCTGACAAACTGATAAGTTAATACAGGTATTTCTACTTACAAATTTATGATAATCTTGTAGTTCTCTTGCCCTTTTGCACCTTAAAAAGCAATGCCCATAGCAGAAGTTCAGAACCCGCAAATGAGGAATACGAATATAAGATGGCTAGAGATCGGATGAATGGGTTTCTTGGATGGATGTGTTTCTTGAGATGAAATCACAGGTTAGGGCTTCAAGAACTACTGCCCCAACCAACCAGTTGCAATTATTGAAGGTGCAGAGGTGGGAGAAGTTCAGAACCCGCGAATGAGGAATACGATGGCTAGAGATTGGATGAATGGGTTTCTTGAGATGAAATTGCAGGTGAGAGCTTGAAGAACTACTACCCCAACTAACCAGTTGCAATGGCATTGAAGGTCCAGAGGTGTGGAAGAACCCTAAATGGCAGAAGGTTGGAGATGGAGAGACCGACGCATTAATGGGACATGTTTTCCTTTTTGGTTTTTTGTTTTTTATTTTTGACACAAATATTAAAATAATAAATAAATTGGAGATGGAGAGACCAATGCATTAATGGGACAGGTTTTCCTTTTTGGTTTTTGGTTTTTTATTTTTAACACAAATATTAAAATAATAAATAATAACTAATGGAAGAACAAAACGTTTGGAGTTCGGATGCAAGGTGCTTTAGCTGGGCCAGATGTTAGCACGCTATTAGGTGCTTACTTAATGTGCTCACCTAGCATGCTTACTACATCCGGACCCGTTACGATGGCCATAGACTTGATAATGGCTGAAGTTCAGCAAGTTGCTGAACTAAAAGGCTTTGTTGCTTTACTTTACCTGAGGTTTCTCACAAATACTCACTAGAAGAGACCGGATCTACTCCTTACACACACAGGGCGCCTCACACCGACCTCATATGCACATGTGCCTGTGAGGTGCCCATGTGTGAGGAGCAGATCCCGTTCCCTCACGAGATACGGGCATTTATTTGGAACCATTTTTTCATAAAAAAAATGTGCTCAAAGCCATGCCTTGGAAATCGGGAAGGCATGGCTTGGAGAAACGCCTAATTTGGCATTTCCTGGAGCTGCAGATCATTGTTGCCAACAGGGATGTGAGGTGGTAGTGGCGTGGCATTGGATAATGGGTACCAGTGCTGAAAACGTTTCTTAGAGCATAGGTACCATTAGAAAAAGTTGTTGCTCCAAGAAACGTCCTACCTAGCAACAACAACTCCAAACAAAAAAAACATCGTTTTCTCAGAAAATGATACTTCCAACCTGCACATTAGCAGCACCGTTTTCTGAGAAAATGGTAAAAAAATGGTGTTGCATCTACAGCATCGATGCCAAACATATGCAAAATCAGCCTTATTAACGATCACTTATTTTGGTGATTTCTTGATTTTTAATTGATTTTGATTTTTTTAAGATTGCATGACATCCAATATGGCATTGAATAATAACTCTAATACAAAAAATAATTGGCCCTTTGAGAATTAATACTACACATACTCAAAGCCATTTCTCAAATGATACAAGATAACAAAATTTACAAGTTTTTGGAAAAAAAAAACACTAATTTCAAAAATCAATCAGTAAAGAATAATCAACATGGATGCCAAACATTACCTTAGAATTAATAAGTGGGGTAAGTGAAGTTTACTCTTAGGGGGCATTTGTTTTCCAATAAATAGGGGTAGGTAAGTTGATCGGACCCATATAAAAAAAAGGAATCTGTGTTCGTGTTTATATTAATGGATCTCATGGAAAAAAAAATAATACCCCAACTCATTTACCTAGATAGGGGTGGATTTGAGTCGAGCGAGCCAAATAGTACTAGGCTCGAGCTCAGCTCGAGCTTGATTTTGAGAAAAAATATTTTATAAAAATAAAAAATTATATATAAAAATATCTTTTACTTGATATTAAAAAAATTAAGAATTATAATAATTAATAGTTATAATATTTTTATTATATATTATTTTTTATAATTTTATTATATATATTATATATCAAATATATATATAGCCGGCTCGCGAGCCTCACGAGCCGAGCTCTAGTAGGCTCGAGCTCAACTCGTTTAATAATCGAGCCAATGAATTGGGCTCGAGCTCTGTTGAAATCGAGCCAAACCGATCTCGAGCAGCTCGTAAAAAGCTCGGCTCGTTAGCACCCCTATACCTAGATAAATAATACCCTCATGAGACTTAGGTAAATAACTTTCATGTCCATGCAAAAAATTGTTAAAGCATGATGAAACAACATTAACCCTTCAATAATGACTGTTACATTTATTTAAGTATTTCTCAAGAAACACCTACCCAAATAAGTGTATTTATCTAGATTAGTAAGGGGTACATGCGTTGCACGTGGGCATGTGCATGGTAAAAACTTTTAAAGTTTATATTCGGCTATTGGAATTTGTAAAGATTCTTAAAGTTTGGAAATGTATACATTCAAAAAAAGTTTAAGCATATAAAAATAGGCTATTAAAGCCATCATTTATTAATATTTTTGTTCAATTTTGAAGTTTTTATTTTAGTACATGTTCTTCTGATCTATATATATATTAAAACAAAGCAGTCAAAAAATTTTCTCCTTTTTTTGAATTTTTTATTTTTTTTTATCCCATGCCATTTTTAAGATAACCAATGAGATGCACTTTCCCAATAACCTAAATAATCTCCTAAACTATCTCCCCACTATCCTCCATTTTCTCCAAAATTATCTCTAATTCATATTTATCTCTCTAAATTATCTTTAATTCCTATTTATCTCCAAAATTATCTCTAATTTAGTATGGAGTTTATCTCCTAAATTATCTCTAATTTCTATTTATCCTCTCCCATACTTTTTATCTATATCTATCTAAAGAAAGTTTGGATTACAAAATTTAAGAATTACATAATATTCTATGATAAACTTAAAATATTTATTAAAAAACAAAAAATAAATTTATGTTTTTACAAAATATATCACGAATTTATGTACTAACAATTTAAATTATGTTTTTTCGGATTATCAATTTAAATGTTTTTCAAATATTTAATAATATATAATAGCTTTAAGTAAATAAAATTCAAAACAAAAAACAAAAAAGTTAAATATTTTCTAGATTATTTAAATACTTAAATAACTAATTATTTATCATAACTATATTTTAAATAGTTAA